CGGGGCATCTGGCGTCCCCAGTCCCGGGGTTGCCAGCGCCACCGCGGTCTCCTCCCCTGCCGCCCTCACCATCGCTCTCACTGCGCCCTCGCCTTTCGGGGCGCGTTTGTTCATTCGCCTTGGCTTTTGTGTTCTTGTTTGTTTGTTCTGTGTCCCTTCTTTGGGGCGACTCTAAGCGACAGTGGGGAAAGCCCCGCGGGACCCCGAGCCGCCCTTAGTAGGACCGAGCCTAGGGGTCGCGGGGGCTGCCGCGAAGGTGGAGAGCGAGCGGCACGACAGTGGACTAGCGAGCGACTGGGGCGCTCAAGTACCGGCAAGTGCCGGGAAGCTTGGGATTTCCCGGTCCCCATCGCTGTGGTGCCAGTCCAGCTCGGCTCGCCCTCTCTCCTCTCTCTTTGCTCTATCTCAACTCTCTCCTCTCCTCCCTCCTCTCTCATCTCTCTCTCCTCGCTCCTGTCTCTCTCCTCTCTCCTCCCCTCCCCTCTCCCTCCGCCGTTTTGCCAGCCTTAGCTTGTGTGTGTAACACTCCAGGGAAGGGTGCTTGCCCTGGTAGGCAGGATGGAAAGTACCTGCCACTTCCTATACCAATTCAGTCTGGTTGGGTCACTTAGTCTGTGAGGCCTTGGAATTCTCTCCCATCATGATTACTGTTGTCCTGGATAAAACATGTGCTGTTTTGTTGGATACATAGAGCCTGTTGGGACGATTTAGGGGTGTTAGGTTTTGAGTCAAGGTCTCCTGTTTAGTGAAGCTCCATGCTAATGGGTCCCTGCCCTGTCCTGAGGGTCAGAGTTCCGTCTATGGTTTTGTATGATTTGGCCTGGAGCTCACTAAAGCTGAGAGGCACAGCGCACATTTTTTTTTTTTTTTTTTCTGGAAGTGGTTAATAGAGTTCAGAGTTGAAACTGCCCTGAACTCAGCAAGCCCTGTGACCAAGCTGTGGTTGTCTATGGCCACGGTGATAGAAATTCGACTACCAAGAGGATACTATTGGCCATTGGCTTTGTCCTTAAGAACTTTGCTTCAGATATTTTGTTTTCTCTGTAATCTTGTTTCCATCCTGCAAGTAAATTTAAATTTATCTCCAGTCTTAATAATTTTGGAAGAAAGTCTAAGCTACCTTATGATTATGGGGAATTGAACTCAGGACCTCGGAAGAGTTGCCGATGCTCTTAACTTCTGAGCCATCTCTCCAGGCCCGGAAAATCTTGATCTTTGTAAAGTGGGTTTAAATACTTAGTATCTGAACTTGATAATCGCAGGCATAAGAATCATGTTTAATGTTTTCCTGCTGCCTTTTGGGGAAAAGAAGTGATAAAGGCAGATTTACACTTTGTATTAAGTGGCAAAGTTCTGTCATTCATGTATTCCCAATTTAATAGCCATTTTCACGACTCCATGTCTTGTGCAGTGCAGTCGGCTGGGTGTTTTAAAGAGCAGGACATGGAATATATTCCTGGCCCTAAAGGGCTTTCTAAACTAATTCAGTGACACCGGCATCTTTATGTGGGCATCCAATGGAGTCTGATGACTATGTGGCTAGCAGGATGTTGTCAAGAATGTACTAAGTCCCCTTTAGGTCATAATTTGGTGAAGCTGCCTCGCATATTGGAATAAATCCCAGGTTCACTAAGGATGTACTTTCTAAAATAACCTCTCAAGTGCTCATAGTTCATCAAATAGAGGTACATACGACCCTTTAATACAGTTCCTCATATTGTGGTGACCCCCCAAACCATAAAATTATCTCATTGCTACTTCATAATTGTAATTTTGCTACTGTCATGAATCATAATGTATAATGTAATCTGAAATATAGGATGTCTCATATGGAACCCCTGTAAAAGGGTCTTTTGACCCCCTCAAAGGGTTTGCCATCCACAGGCTGAGAACCCCTGCTATAAGATATAGTATGTGGTAATTATTAAAAGGCACAGGCACACAATTGGAAATCAGAGGACACGATGTAATAGTTGTTTCTCTACTTCTCCTACTACTGTGGGTTTTAGGGATGGAGTCAGGTCTCACACTTCTTGGCAGGTGCCTTTACGCACTGAGCCATCTTGTCAACCCACAAACGTATAGTTTTCAATAGGGTGGCTTTGAGCACTGTATTAGGTACTTTATTTTTGCTGTGATAAAACACATTGTTCAAAATCGATTGAAAGAAGACACAGCCCCATACCCTAAATGTTCTGTAACCTCTCCAAACAGCACCACCTACCAGTGACCCAGTGTTCAAATACTAAACCTATGGGTGCCATGTCTTATTCAGAGCACCATAGACACATAAATGTCGGATGAGCTCTGGATTGGCTCTGTAGATTTGACTTAAGTTAAATGAAACCCACTTCTTTGTATCTTATCTCCCCAAACAAACAACAACAACAACAAAAACCCAAACCAAAACTATTACTACTAATAATAATAAATTCTGAATGCTTTTGAATTAAAAAAAATGTTAAAAGACTCTTGATAAGAATTAGTTTCTAAAACTAAGATTGGAGCGTAGCACAAATTCTAATTGTTCTTAATAATAAAATCTCAGAGTCGGCTATCAGGGTGTGAAAGCTAAAGGATCAGAGAAGCAGAGTGGCCAGCCACTAGAGTTCTTACTTCTACCAATGCTCATACCAAAAGTGTGATACTGTCCTCAGACTGCCTCCTCTGACTGACTGCTCAGACTGCAATGAGCTCCTGTCTCCTCCAGCCTTATATTCCTCTCTTTATGCAGGCATATCACTCTCATCTCCACCTCCCAGGTACTGGGATTAAAGGTGTGAGCTACTACCACTTGTCTCTGTTTCTCTTTTAAACTGGGTCAATCTCATATAGCCCAGGGTGGCCTTGAACTCACAGAGGCCACTCTGCCTCTGCCTCCCAAGTGCTGGGATTAAAGGTGTGCCCCACCACTGCCTGGCCTCTTTGGCTAACTAGCGTGGCTGGTTTTGCACTCTGATTGTCAGGCAAGCTTCATTTGTTAGATCACAAACAAAACATCACCACATTGGAGCACAGGATAAGTCAGATGTCTGTTTGAAAATTATTGATCCAGGCTCTTTCCTTCCAACCAAGTTGCATTTCGTTGCTGTAATTGCACTGATTCTTTCCCTAGTTCTAAGGAGAATTTACCTACCTGCTGGCTAGGTGGAGTTTCTTATACTACGTGCGTGTAGACGTTTGAGAATTGATGGAACCCACACAGTGAGGCATGGCAGGTTGCAGCGCAGCCTGAGAGATGTGTTGTTCACTCTGCAGCCTCCCTTATAGCTCAGTATGTTTGTTATCCCATTTATAAAATGAGATTAAAGATTCTTATCATTGCCTTGGAAACCTGGTGATTTGGTGAAACAGCCATGAATATCACACCCCAGGGCTTCTTGTTCCATAGGAACTCTCTTCCCTTTACCTCCTTTAGGCTGGAAGAGCTAATTGTTAAAACTACATAAAAATAGCTCAGATAGGCTATGAATAAAATCTGTGCTGTGTGCTATCGAGTCTCCTTGGAGAAACTGTAGTCATCTGTTATTTCTCTCCTAGGCCTTTTGCTTCTTGTTGGTTTGTTTGTTTTGTTTTATTTTGAAATGGAGTCTCACTATTCAATCCAGGCTAGGCTAGAACTTGGGATCAGGCTAAAGTCAAACTCATGGGCCTCCCAACTCAGCCTATTGAATGCTGATTATAGAGCCATTACCATGATTGACATCTACTTTTATTTCATAATGCTAAGAGGAAGTCCTGCACCTGATGCAGGATTAAACAGAGAGTTGTAGCAGGAATAGAGTTATAATTCCAATTGGCAAATGGAAACTTCTGTGGTTTATTCCTAACCCCTGTGTGGTCTTGCATTATCCAGGGTACACTAAACATTTGTTTGTAAATAAGGTATGGCTAAAACCTTTTTGGCTTTGGGTTCTGGTGGGCCTGGGTTGCTCCCCCAGTATTTACCTGTCCTTTAATCTTGAAAACAAATGGGAGTAATGGAAGAACTTAGGTAAATGGACTCTTGTAAAGGTTAGACACACTAACCAAGAGAGTCTTTAGACCATCACTTGCCACTGAAAGTGAGGTAGGGGAAGGAATGGCAATTCAAAGATCCAAAATTAAAAATAATGCATAATATCCATAAATATATACCTGGAATATTTCGAAGTGGATATTCCTTATCTAAACGGTGTCAGCCATTTTTTCAACAAATGTTTGTCAAACTGCTACCACAGCTTGTCAAACTGCTATGCTTGAATTTTGCATAGACTGAGGTACAATGGTATTCAAGAAAGGGGTAGCTACTCTCCTCTACTTTAAATGCCAATGTTATAAACATTCCTAATACCATGCTACTTGTTTCGTGATGGGAGAAGTATGGAGGTTCACGGAGGTCATGACGGGATGTCAGGTCCTGGATGGACAAGCAAAAAAGCATCGTCCTCTGTATTCTTGAGTTGATGGTAGGCAGTGGTCAGTGAAAGTGTCAGGGGAAGAGAATCCACTAAGATGTGAAGCAGGAAGACCCCCAGAAAGTGGAGAGTTGCAAGATGCTCCAGATCCAGGTGAACTTGAGAATGGAGGTCAAATGAACAGTGTAAAGGAGTAAGTAAATGTGAATGGGAAGGACGGGCGTGGCTGTCCAGAGAGCCCAGACCTTGTCGACAGGGAACTAGCCACGTGTTCTCAGGTTGAGACACAAGCCAACATTTGCCAGGTGTGGAGAGCTT